GCGAGACTACGCCCGTCATCTCACAGAGGCATCGTTCACCGTCGGTACAACACGTGGCCCCAAACCGCTGGAACCAACGGGCACCCTTTAACCGCGGGCACATGCGTGCGCCTCTTAACCGCAGACGCGGTCGTTAAGGCACTCAAATAAGTGCAACTAGGGATTACCCTCATCCTCATCAATGTGAAAGAAAGGCAGATCATCCATAGGAAGGAGAGATCGTACCCGAATGTCAAGATCCTGCAGATTAGTAAACTCCCGCGTCCCCTCTGTACTATCCACGGCCCACAATCCCAACTCAGTCGTCAGGCCATTCGCCCGAACGTCACAATGAAACCACTGGACCGTCGCGATAGAACAGAGGAAACACAGTCTAGCCTAAACATCATGAAGGTACCACATTGGCGTTTTGAAGACGTTGTCTAAATACTTAGGTTTTTATTGTAACAAGTTCATTCAATTTCTCTAAGTCATGGCTCAAAACAAAATATATTTTTCATGCATCAAATGAGTTTTTTCATAAATGGTTTTAAGTTTCTAAAACACCCGGTTCTTGCCCAACCAAAACAATAACCATCGGTTATCGGTGTTCGGCTATGGCGTTTGGTTTTCGGCATTGGTTATTGGCATCCATTTTAACCAAATGGTTTTTGGGTTTTTATCTTTTGTTTTTGCTTCTGGACACATTGAAAGGTTTTCCAAATCATTAGTTTTCAAAAACCATAACCTTTGTTTTTTCGGCGTTGGTTATCGGCATTCGGCGCTGGTTATCGGCGTTGGTTTTTGGCATCCAAATCAATCAAGTGGTTTTTAAGATTTTATGATTGGGTTTTACTTCTGGGCATATCCAAATAGTTCTCCAACAAAAACATGTTAAAAACCACCTTTCGTTTTTGGTCTTTTGGCGAAAACCATGTGAAACGGCATAAACTTGGCTAGCCATGGTTTTTACCTTAATGAAGTGGTTTTTAAGTTTTTATACTTGGTTTCTACATAAAATACATTATGTATGAGTTTCCAACACTTGGTTTTCATTTTGGAGAACTTTGGTTTTTGACATCGGTTTTCGGCGTTGGCTGCCAAACCATGGTTCTGGCGAACCATCCCAACATGCATGTCGGAAATCCCAACAGAGATGTAGGCATTCAGAAGTCCTTGGTAGTAGGTTTTTGAACAGTGATGTTCATTGCTGAACAGCGATGTTTTCAAATGACCGTTGGGCTATTTAAGACAAAATCTTTCCATTTTTGAAAGTCAAACACCCCAACATCGATGTAGACTTTTAGACATCGATGTTTTGATAACCGTTAGCCATTTTTAAAGGAAAGTGAAAGCCAAAACAGCGATGTTCACTATATGAACATCGATGTTGGGCCAAATTTCAGTAGATCCACTTTTATTTGATTTCCACATATCATGCCATTAAACCCCAATCAACTCCCATCCGTTACACATCATTTTTGGGTATAAATAGAGGTCTTTTGGGTCTACTTTTCACAACCATTCCTCACACATTTCATAGCTTTACATTGCATCATTTCATAAACTTTTTACATAGCTTTTTAGAGCCATTTCTTGTGGAATTGAGTGTGTTCTTCGTCTAAATTAGTTTACTCATATTCTACTCTTTAAGAGAGTTTTTTGTTCTTGAGTGGTTAAGTGTTGTGAACACTTTAAGGGAGGTTTGTTCCCTTGGTTGTACGAAGGAAAGGTATTTTCCTTCGGGTTGAAGTCTTAGAGTGTGGTATCTCCAACCAAGTGTTGTCGAGGCTCGTGGGACTCGAGTTCTCAGGTTGTAACGGTTTGTTAAGCACCCGTAAGCTTAACGGAAGTAGTGTAGCTCGAGAGAGTCTCTCAGGAGGCTGGACTAGCCACATGTTGTGGTGAACCAGGGTAAATTCGGTGTGTTCTTTCCTTACGCTTTTTTATTCCGCTCTTTACTTTATCCCTGCAATTTTTATTCCGCGAAAATTTATAAAAATTCTCGTGCCTCACTATTCACCCCCCCTCTAGTGAAGGGCACTTATTCTAACAATTCCATTTTCATCAAGTTTGTTACGGAACACCCATTTCGTACCAATAGTTGTACGATCGTCGGGCCTTGGCACCAATTCCCAAACGTCATTCCGTTTGAATTGGTTTAGCTCCTCTTGCATAGCCAAGGTCCAATGTTCGTCATTTATTGCTTCGGAAATGGTTGTATGTTCAATTTGAGAAACAAAAGCCATGTGTCCTACGGTGTCCCTAAGTGAGTTACGAGTACTTACCCCGCGGTTGATGCTACCAATTACCTGGTCTAGCGGGTGGTTCTTGTTTGTTCTCCATGCAACGGGAAGCTCGGTTGCTTCTTCGTCGTGTTCCTCTTGTTCTTCTTCTTCCGCTTGATTTTCTTCTTCACCTTGGTTAGTCGCTTGGGGCGTCTCCCCAAATTGCGGCTGCGTGTTGGTGTATATTCCCGTGTTCTCTTCATCGTCTTCGACGTGTATTCTCTCTAATGAATCTGCAAGATCATCACAAATATCCTTTCTCGCCAAGCGAGGGTTATCTTCGGAAAATACAACGTGAGGGGACTCCTTAATAGTCAAGGTGCGTTTATTAAAGACTCTATAGGCCTTGCTACGGAGTGAGTAACCCAGAAAAATTCCTTTATCCGACTTGGCATCAAATTTGCCCAAATTGTCTTTGCCGTTGTTATGAATGAAACATTTGCAACCAAAGACTCGAAGATGGGAGAGGTTTGGCTTTCTCCCTTTGTATAGTTCATAAGGCGTTTTCATGAGTATCGGTCGAATGACGGCTCGGTTTAATACGTAGCTCGCGGTACTCACGGCATCCGCCCAAAAATACTTAGGGATTTTTGCCTCATTGATCATAGTTCTAGCCATCTCTTCGAGACATCTATTTTTACGTTCCACCACTCCATTTTGTTGTGGTGTACGTGGGGCTGAGAAGTTATGATCAATGCCAAGTTCGTCACACAAATCTGAAAACAGATTTCGTTCGAACTCTCCCCCATGGTCGCTTCTTATGGCTACTATGGTTGTTTCTTTTTCATTTTGAACTTTCTTTAAGAAATTTTTGAAAAC